ATTATTCATATTTAATTTTACAAAAATTTAATAAAAAATTTTAAACATTAACAGTAAAACAAACAAATGAGTGCTTATTATAAATAAATTAAACCAGTTTAGTGCGTTAATTTCTTAGAAAAGGATTAATTTGTCAAAACAATACCCCTAGCGAGAAAAAATCGAACTAATTACTTGCCTCATAAAATTTTTTATCGGCCTAGGCCATAACAAGGTATTTCTTTATCGAATGTTGACAACAATAAAGTTTAAATTATAGACCGCGTGGAGATAAAATTATATTTATAAAAATATCAAGTTTTTCTTACTTTTCCGCTAAAACGATCAGAATATTATAACAAAACGTTATCGGACGTTGGTCATTTTATTTTTCAAAAAATTGTGTAATTTTATAACTTATAGTTTTATAGTTACTGATTTTTACAAATTAATACTTCTGATTAAAATACCTACTAATTAATTTCAAGAAAATATCAATTTTATTGCAAATATTTGTATTTATAGGTTACTGGTTAAACCAGTCAATCATAAATAAAACATTTAAAAAAATACTGACATATTTTTATAGAATATAAAATGATCTACAAAAAATGTATGATCATTGTCAACATTTTGTAACAATTCTGATGTTTTTACCGGGGAATGCTATGAATTTAAGTCTTAAATAACTTTTTAACGAGTTGATTCATCATAAAATAATAAGTAAACTTTATTGTGGAGCGTTCAATTCTCTAAAATAAAAGGTTTAATTATTTTAGTCCATTAATCCGTTAACGAGTTATATAAAAAAAAAATCTCAAGTACCTACCTAATTAAAATGTAAAATCGCGATTAGCAACCATTCATGAATGGGTGATATTTTAAGATTGTCCGGGCATGAGTGTTTCGATCGTGGTAGAACTGTGTTCTATCCTACAGCATTAGATTTAAAATCCGTTGCCATACTTGCAACCAAAATTCATATGGGTATAAATTCCATTTTTAGGCGAATTTTTTATTATTTTGCAACGTAATTGCATTGTCAGTTCATTAGGCGTTATTATAGTGTATGTGAATGAATAAAAATCTTTAACATCGCTTTTCAAAATTTCGCCAATAACAGTCGCAACGCTTGGCAACGTCGTATTCGCTGTCTCTTTTACCCTTACGCTTGCTACATACGTTCTCACTCACACCTATGTAGCACCGGGCGAGAGCGTTTCTATCGGACGTCAGCGACGTTGCCACGAATCTCCAGTGCAAGCGTCAAATTTTGTGAATTCACCGGTTTAATCCAATAGCACTTTTTTCCTACCGACATGATCATTATTAAACTTCGCGTATCATGTTTTGAAATTACGCTCCACGATATACTCATTTTTCATTGCAATCCTATAATTACCAATAATTATTTCGAAGGAGAAAAGAGTAACAATCCACGTGCTGCCATAAGAACCCGTGTATTTTTACTTTGAAATGTATTTACTCGGCTCCAGGTCCTGGAGAGTGCCAAATGGAGTCCAGGATAACCTTAAGCTGAAGGTTATGTATCTGTCAAAGTATAGTCAACAAAAGAAATAATATTATGTTTAGGCGTTAAAAATGTATAAATTTTAATAACATTACAATAACAATGGTTGGTATAAGAATTTAGGAATATAAATACTGCATTTAATGAAATTCTAAAGTGTATGGTGCCAAATAAGTAATATTTTTGTGCATTTGGTTCAAATATCTGGTTTTATCCATAACATAATTTTAACCAAACAGAATTTATAAAAAAAATCTAACTTCTCTTTTATGGAATAAGTATATTTGTATTAAAGGTAGGTTAATATATTATAACAAAAATATCATCTAATTTTGTAATTTTAAGGTTAGAAAAATTTATTTTGACCAAAATATTTAAGTATTTTGGATATTTTTGAAAGACTGTATAAAATGGTATTTAAAAATTGTTTTTTTTTCCTATCCAGCCTAAAGTGTACCTACATAAAGTTTTGTTAATACAAATAGTTATAAAGCTTCTACTGAATTTGATCTACATTGAAAAATCATTATAACTTTAAAAATTTTAATAAATCACATGTCATGGGAGTATTAAATATTTTCACATTTCTCTAAAAATTATTTGTTTTCTTATAATCCAGCTTAAAGTAGGTATGCCGAGAGGTATGCACAAGTTTCTATCGTTAGAAGTATAAAAGCTTCAATTTAATTTGAACCATATTCAGCAATTATTTAGTATACCTATATTTATTTATGACCATATTAACACACTCTTCCAAATAATCCACTGATTTATTTTGGTCAAAATAGATTTTTCTAACCTTAAAATACAAAATTAGATGATATTTTTTGTTATAATATAATAATAGAGAAGTTAGATTTTTTTAATAAATGCGGTTTAGTTAATTTAACTAAAACTAAAACTATTTTATGGAGAAATGTAGACCCAATGCACAAAAATATCACTTTGGCACCATACACTTAAGAATTTCATTAAATGCAGTATTTATATTCCCAAATTCTTAAACCAACCATTGTTATTGTGATACTATTAAAATTTATTAACTTTTAACGCTTAAACATAACTATAAATATTATTTCCTTCATTGATTATACTTTGACAGATACATAACCTGAAAAGCATTAAATGCCAAATTTTCAAAAGACTGCGTTCCATACGTGGCCACGTGGTGGGACTTTGAGGTGTGGAGCATAGTACATAGTATTACTTAATAAATAACATTTTTTATAATAAATATTTTTTCATCACATAAACTTTTTTCACTACATATTTTTTTTATTGTATAAAAATGTTTGGTAAATTTTTTTTTATCAGATAAAATGTTTCTATTCAAAATTAGTTTTTTACTGGATAAACATTTTTCATTAGATAAAAAGATATATCTCGCGTATACGCGAAGAGACCTCAATGCTCTCTAAACAACGTTTTTCATTTGAAAGCTTTCACGAAAAACAAGCAGCTAGCTTTGCATTATTCATGATTCGTCCATTCATATTTGCAATTCGAGCCGAGCCGATAAACAAAACAAAGTAAATTGCGGGCTTAATGCGATATTTAACCCGCTCGACCAAAACGAAAACGAACTTAATATCAGATAAGCCCCCGCACATTTTTTCCGAATAAACATCACTTGATTGATTGAAGTGCCCAACTGTGAGGTGCATTCATACATTCGCTATTGTTTTAAAAGACATTGCTCCCCAATTTTGAAGGGGTGGAATTTATGACCGTCGCATTTAATTATTTTTGATTCGCTCAATGAATGGCATTTAAGCAGGTAATTTAGGGTGAAAGCGAAAAAGGGTTGCCTTTGTCCTTCAGTTAAATTGAGTGTTAAAGTTATTCAAGAATTTTAGGTAAATACAATTTAGGGTTATATCCGCATTTTTATTTTTACTACATTATAGAGCTGGCAAATTTTTTATTTTACACTATGGTTTTATGTTGGTTTTTTGTATTGTCTCTTAAGGTTAAATATTCCACAAATAGGACAGCTGAGGTTTACATGGTTGACATATCTATTTTTATGCCAGTTTATGTAAAAACACCCTTTATATAGAGTTTTCAAATTCATAAAATAAAAGTTCTAAGAAAAAATTCTTTACAATCTGAATTTAGCTAAAAAGTTATTGAATTAAATTTTGATTCTATTAAATCCGTATAAAAACTTAGTTAGTTAAAACCTAATAAATTATTGAATTAAATTATTAATTAATTGAAGCCACAATGAATCTTAATGATAAACTATAAATTATAAATTAAAGTTATGGTTTCTAATGAATGGCTACATTATATGCAATCAAAGCTCTAATTCCTTTAAATATGTATATTCTTGTGCAAATATTAGTTGTATAATACATTAATATGAACTTTAAATAAAATGAATTTTGGAAACTGCTTTGTACACAGGTTTTTCGATGCATAAAATAAAATTGTTCTGTTTTCTATAGGAATTATTAGGAACCCACTAGAAGTGTTCCTGATATTAGGTTCTAAGAAAGTTGCTGACCTATCACTAGCAACAGTTACTGTACTGGATGTGCAGGATCTGTCTGCCATGGCACATGGTTATTCTAAAACGAAATAGGAGTTTCATATTATGTATTTAGAGGCGAATCCTAAAGATTGCTGAAAGTCCTAAAGCAATATATATTTTATCAGGACGCCCTTCAAGGATATCATGACGGTATTAAAAGACTACGAGAAGTTTTTTTTTAAATAAATAAAAACTTTGTCAATTTTAGCAAAATAGCCATTTTAAGGCATATAAAACTGTGTCCATGATATATACCTATATGAGTGCACATTTACCTTTTTGTTATCATTTAGATATAATTGAGTAATTGAATTACTGGATAATGCATGGCGGACATACAATTAAAAAACATGTACAACTTACCTTAAAAATTCGTGATTAGGGAGTACAACCCCCAAGTTATTAGCAAATATAACAAACAACCAAACACTACCTATACCAGAGATAACCCATACACGTTTGTCTGAATTTTAGCAATCATTAAATTAAATATAGGCCGCATTGAAAAAATGGAAATGATAATTGGGCAAATAACAAGTATTTTTCAAGACAGTGGACATTGGAAGTAATAACTTACTTTACCTTAGATTCCATTGGAATAAAAATCATGAACATTAAAAGAAACAAGGACTATTCTTATTTCATTTGTTTTTACTTTTTGGTTAAAGCATTATAACTTTTAATATAAATCAATTTTATATTTAATTGTTAATTTTACCTTGATCAGATAAACTTTGAATACAATCAATTCCATTAGGTTAAAATATAAAGAGCCATTCACACTATAACAAGTAATTTTAACTTGATAATATTTTGTTATGGGCTGAATATAATATTTGTATTAACATCAATCCCTTACCCTCAATTGCTCCAAACATATTTTATTGAATAAACTTTAACTTTTATTGGAGAAATGAAAAAACAATTAATTATAGTATTGGTATCGACTATATCAAAGCGTTTTTCCTGTGTACATTAATAAAAATATAGATTAGGATTATATAATTCCATATTTTTCCAAGTATCTGGCATAGGTTAAAATTTTTTCGTTGACTTCTTCACCCTGAGGATTGGAAAAACTTTCCACCATATCAACATCTACTTTCGTTATATCAGGCAATTCTGATTTGGACTTGGAGCTAATTTGCAACACTGACGGGACCATCATCAGGGACACTCTTGCATACTTTTTATAATCTCCCAGGAAATTTTCTTTCGGGTAAATTTCATTTGGATCGCATTTAAGTTTTCTAAGGTTTTCGGAAAAGTCCTTGTAATATGTTTCAAGTAGATCGCCTATATGTTCGTAATTATCTTGGGAAATATTGGCCAATATGACGTAGCATAAATCTACCAGTGGATTTGATACGTTGCAAATTTGCCAGTCCAAAATTTTTACTTGTTCCGGAGTATCTCCATTCATCTGAAATATGTAATAATACATTTGGTTGGTTTTCAAAAAAAAATTATTGGTCTTTTACTTTCTATAGAAAATGATTGACAAATCAGATCACATGCAATCTAGTGTGCAGTGGTGAATTTTACCACTTTGATTACCTTAAACATATAGTTGTTGTTCCAACAATCCCCATGAACTATAGTGGAATGATCATTAACGTAATCTGTTAAATTTATAACCTCTTCAAAGGTGATTTTTCTTTTCTTCTTCAACAATTCCGTTTCATTGCAATTTTCCAATACGTTGTCCAAAACTTTAAACCAGCCTTTATAGAGTTCGTAGCAAAACTCCATTATTCCTTTATGTAATTTAATAATTTCGTTGGATATTTCTTTGAATTTCTCAGGGTTTCGTAGCTTGAAAGCAAAACCCAACGCGTGAAATTTGGCGTAATTTTTCATTAATAAATTTAGATGATTTATTGTAAAGGGCGTTTTAATGTCGTTGATCACAAAACCTGTAGCTTTTAAATTTTCCAAAACAAGGGCGTTACTGTTTTGGCTCTCAAACGTTTTGTACCATTTTGGAAAACATTTTAAAGGAGTACAGTTATTTTCGAGCAATATCTTTTGATATAAAGGCACTAATTTTTGTAGCACGAGTGTTTCCAAATTGTAAGCAAATTCTATTGGAATTTTTTCGCGGAATTCTTTTAAGGCGCAGCTGTGCTTTAGTGCAAAATCTAGTTTGACTTCTTTGCCATATTTTTTGCCTGTTGCGACTATAAAAATCACCAAACCTGTGTAACCATCCCCAATGGAACTTGTCCCTTAAAATAATAAATACCATAATATAGTAGGATTTTTGTAAAGTTGTCCTTATTATAAAAGAATGTCACCTGTTACATTAACTTTTCCTTCTAAAACATGTTGTTCTTGAAGAACTGTTTCGATGTAGGAAATAACATCAGACCTTTCAATACCAAATTTTTCCATCACAAATAACAATAATACAAAACAAACTTAAACTTGTTTTCTAACTTATGTATTAATTGAATGAATGAATATTGTGCAATTAAATTTCTCCTCAACCACTTAACCTTGATAATATAAATAAACAAGATTATACGTATTTAAAATTACATTTCAATTATATAATTAATACTTTTGCTTTCATATAATTTTTTTATCTGCCAAATATTTCACCAACTCCAATGTTCTTCTTTTAACTTGGTCATCCTTTGGAGGTTCAAATGCCTCGATAATACTATTCATGTCACTTAGGTCCACTTCAATTCTATCTTTGTCCGCCATTGCGTAAAGTGTAGGGGCATAACAAGTGGAATATTTTGCGTATGAGTGCCAATCTTCCATAAATTCGTCTTTTGGATACACATCCTGAACGTCACATCCCATGCTGTTTAAATATTCAGAAAATTGGAGGTAGTAGTAATTAATTAAATCGTCCACATGTTTTAACTCTTCTGTAGATAATCCTGGGAAAATTATTTGTATTAAATCATTCATAGGACTCCCCACAGAGCTAAGTTGCCAGTCCAAAAGTTTTACTTCTTCTGGTTCGTCTTTATTACACTAAAATAAATATTCAGAATCATATAAATACGTATAGTACTACAAGGTTATGCTTGTTTTAGAATATACATTGATGTGATATAATAAGAATGATTACCTTCTTATATTTAAATATTAAATTGTTGTTCCAACAATCAGCATGGGTCACAATGGAATGCTTATCATGGGCATATTTTAATAGCAAGTCTTCATATAAAATATTCTTAACTTTATCAATCAATTCAAGTTCATCCAATGATCTTAACGTTTTTTGTAAATGTTCATTGAATGTATTAAAATACTCTATTAAAATCTTATTTAACTCATATACTGGCTCGTCGAGTATGGATGCAATTTTTTTAAATTCATCCGGTTTTTTTATTTTAAAAGCAAACCCTGTTGCATGGAATCTAGCATATTTATCCAAAAGCAATCTTAAATGATTTAAATTCATAGGAATTTTTACATCGTGTATTTCAAAGCCTTGGGCCTTCAAATTATCAAAAACCATTGTTTCATCAGCTTCATTTATCTCAGTTTTATACCATTTTGCAAATATATCCAGGAGCGGTAGGTCGTGTTCTTTTAAAAAGTTTTGGTACTTAGGGATGACGGTTTCGTAAACAGTAGATTCTGTTTTGTAAATCCCTTTGATTGGCATAACATCGCGTTGCGATTTAACTGTAGTGCTGTGTTTTACGGCCAAATTTAACGTAACTTTTTCACCATCCTTGGTACCATTTGCATCCACAAATATTACTATGCCGGTATAGCCATCACCCGCTCCAGTGGTCCCTAAAATATTTAATATAAGAAACCCTTTAATAAATATAATGATAATACAGGCTGTTCTAGGTTTTACTAGAAGGACTTTAGATGATGTAAAAAGTTAAGAAGCAATATTTTGACATATCGCCTTAATAAGATAAATGCAATTTAGAGTATTGTAGTTCAAATGAATATACACGAACTAGGCGTTAAAGGATCAGTTTGAGTCGATATTGCAGTTTGTTTGTTTGTTTACCTTTAATTGTAATTTTTCCATCTTTAATATTTTCTTGATCTAGAACTGATTGAACTAAACTTTTTATGTCACTTTCATTTATACCGTATCTGTCCATTGTCTGTTGTAGCAATACTACAAAACAAGCTCTGTTATTAGCTTATATAAGTTTTGAACTGAGCTTGTATGCATATACACTCCTATTAACTAAATGCGCAAGGCAATATTGAACAATTATTATTAAATAACCCATGGACAATTTAAGCCCGTTTCATATAGATGCGAATGGCGATTTAATACCACTGTTGGGATATTATTTTCTAACTGGACAATATTTGCCATGTTTGTGAGGGGAATGGCAAACGTTTTTTATTTGTCATTATATGTAAAGTGCTGTTAATTTTGTGTTTTAGTTTTATGGATGAGAAATTATAAAATGAATGCCACAATCTGAAATCCTGCGATATTCGCAAAATATTAAATCTTGCGAAATCGCAAATCGGAAAAACTTTTTTCGACAAATTAAATGGACCAATGAGAGCATTATTCGCAATTTGTTATTCGCATCGATATAAAACTGGCATTAACCTTGATAATAAAATCATAAAATAAACAAGATAATATACGCCACGTTTATTGTGCCAATACTATTATTTATAATATAAATAATAGTATTATGGGCCCCAAGCAACTGCCTATTTTGTATATAGGTAGATCTTGCTCTACGTAACCTGCATTTAAAATTTAAGGCTTTAGTGCATATTGTTGCAGATATACTACAATCAGTATTTCAGAAAAAAGACAATCACCAACTGTTTTTTATCAATAATATTATGTATAACTTACTCATATAGTAGAATACTTATTTATTCAGAAAATAATTAAATAAAACTGACATTCAAACGCAATCTATTGTCAAATAAAAAATTTTAGCAAATTCTTCACTATGTTGCAGATATGATACAACATGCATTTGAGCCAATACAAGTAATACAGTATGTCTACTAAAAAAGTTCCCGAAGCGTTGCAAATTTGCTACGCGATGCATTTAAGGGTTAATTGAAAGCCCTGTATATTTATCTTTATAAATAACAAACTTTTATTAATATTATTGTACATTTGATTTCATATCATTTTTTTGTCGGCCAAATATTTCACCAACTCCAATGTTCTTCTTTTAACTTGGTCATCCTTTGAAGGTTCAAATGCCTCGATAATATTTTTTAAGTCACTTAGGTCCATTTCAATTCTATCTTTGTCAGCCATTGCATAAAGTGTAGGGGCATAACAAGTGGAATATTTTGCGTAAGAATGCCAATCTATCATAAATTCGTCTTTTGGATACACATCTTGAACGTCACATCCCAGGCTGTTTAGATATTTAGAAAATTGCAGGTAGTAATAATTAATTAAATCGTCTACTTTTTTTAAATCTTCTGTAGATATTCCTAAGAAAATTATTTGTATTAAATCGATCATGGGACTGCCCACAGAGCTTACTTGCCAGTCCAAAAGTTTCACTTCTTCTGGTTCATGTGTATTACCCTAAAATAAAGTACAAGGTAATGATTGTTTCAACTTATACATCGGTGTTTTATAACAACAATAGATACCTTTTTATATTTAAATATTAAATTGTTGTTCTAACAATCAGCATGGGTCACAATGGAATGCTTATCATGGGCATATTTCAATAGCAAGTCTTCATATAAAATATCCTTAACTTTACCAACCAATTCAAGTTCATCCAATGATCTTAACGTTTTTTGTAAATGTTCATTGAATGTATTAAAATACTCTATTAAAATCTTATTTAACTCATATACTGGCTCGTCGAGTATGGATGCAATTTTTTTAAATTCATCCGGTTTTTTTATTTTAAAAGCAAACCCTGTTGCATGGAATCTAGCATATTTATCCAAAAGCAATCTTAAATGATTTAAATTCATAGGAATTTTTACATCGTGTATTTCAAAGCCTTGGGCCTTCAAATTATCAAAAACCATTGTTTCATCAGCTTCATTTATCTCAGTTTTATACCATTTTGCAAATATATCCAGGAGCGGTAGGTCGTGTTCTTTTAAAAAGTTTTGGTACTTAGGGATGACGGTTTCGTAAACAGTAGATTCTGTTTTGTAAATCCCTTTGATTGGCATAACATCGCGTTGCGATTTAACTGTAGTGCTGTGTTTTACGGCCAGATTTAACGTAACTTTTTCACCATCCTTGGTACCATTTGCATCCACAAATATTACTATGCCGGTATAGCCATCACCCGCTCCAGTGGTCCCTAAAATATTTAATATAAGAAACCCTTTAATAAATATAATGATAATACAGGCTGTTCTAGGTTTTACTAGAAGGACTTTAGATGATGTAAAAAGTTAAGAAGCAATATTTTGACATATCGCCTTAATAAGATAAATGCAATTTAGAGTATTGTAGTTCAAATGAATATACACGAACTAGGCGTTAAAGGATCAGTTTGAGTCGATATTGCAGTTTGTTTGTTTGTTTACCTTTAATTGTAATTTTTCCATCTTTAATATTTTCTTGATCTAGAACTGATTGAACTAAACTTTTTATGTCACTTTCATTTATACCGTATCTGTCCATTGTCTGTTGTAGCAATACTACAAAACAAGCTCTGTTATTAACTTATATAAGTTTTGAACTGAGCTTGTATGCATATATGCATTTAGTTAATAGGAGTGTATACACTCCTATTAACTAAATGCGCAAGGCAATATTGAACAATTATTATTAAATAACCCATGGACAATTTAAGCCCGTTTCATATAGATGCGAATGGCGATTTAATACCACTGTTGGGATATTATTTTCTAACTGGACAATATTTGCCATGTTTGTGAGGGGAATGGCAAACGTTTTTTATTTGTCATTATATGTAAAGTGCTGTTAATTTTGTGTTTTAGTTTTATGGATGAGAAATTATAAAATTAATGCCACAATCTGAAATCCTGCGATATTCGCAAAATATTAAATCTTGCGAAATCGCAAATCGGAAAAACTTTTTCCGCCAAATTAAATGGACCAATGAGAGCATTATTCGCAATTTGTTATTCGCATCGATATAAAACTGGCATTAACCTTGATAATAAAATCATAAAATAAACAAGATAATATACGCCACGTTTATTGTGCCAATACTATTATTTATATGGGCCCCAAGCAACTGCCTATTTTGTATATAGGTAGATCTTGCTCTACGTAACCTGCATTTAAAATTTAAGGCTTTAGTGCATATTGTTGCAGATATACTACAATCAGTATTTCAGAAAAAAGACAATCACCAACTGTTTTTTATCAATAATATTATGTATAACTTACTCATATAGTAGAATACTTATTTATTCAGAAAATAATTAAATAAAACTGACATCCAAACGCAATCTATTGTCAAATAAAAAAATTTAACAAATTCTTCACTATGTTGCAGATATGATACAACATGCATTTGAGCCAATACAAGTAATACAGTATGTCTACTATAAAAGTTCCCGAAGCGTTGCAAATTTGCTACGCGATGCATTTAAGGGTTAATTGAAAGCCCAATCTTTATAAATAACAAACTTTTATTAATATTATTGTACATTTGATTTCATATCATTTTTTTGTCGGCCAAATATTTCACCAACTCCAATGTTCTTCTTTTAACTTGGTCATCCTTTGAAGGTTCAAATGCCTCGATAATATTTTTCAAGTCACTTAGGTCCATTTCAATTCTATCTTTGTCAGCCATTGCATAAAGTGTAGGGGCATAACAAGTGGAATATTTTGCGTAAGAATGCCAATCTTCCATAAATTCGTCTTTTGGATACACATCTTGAACGTCACATCCCAGGCTGTTTAGATAATCAGAAAATTGCAGGTAGTAGTAATTAATTAAATCGTCTACGTTTTTTAAATCTTCTGTAGATATTCCTAAGAAAATTATTTGTATTAAATCGATCATGGGACTGCCCACAGAGCTTACTTGCCAGTCCAAAAGTTTCACTTCTTCTGGTTCATGTGTATTACCCTAAAATAAAGAACAAGGTAATGATTGTTTCGGCTTATACCTCGGTGTTTTATAATAACAATAGATACCTTTTTATATTTAAATATTAAATTGTTGTTCCAACAATCAGCATGGGTCACAATGGAATGCTTATCATGGGCATATTTCAATAGCAAGTCTTCATATAAAATATCCTTAACTTTACCAACCAATTCAAATTCGTTCATTGATTTTAAAGTTGTTTGTAAATGTTCATTAAATGTATTAAAATACTCTATTAAAATCTTATTTAACTCATATACGGGCTCGTTGAGTATGGATGCAATTTTTTTAAATTCATCCGGATTTTTTATTTTAAAAGCAAACCCTGTTGCATGAAATCTAGCATATTTATCCAAAAGCAATCTTAAATGATTTAAGTTCATCGGGGTTTTCACATCATGCATTTCAAAGCCTTGGACCTTCAAATTATCAAAGACTATTGTTTCACCAGCTTCATTTATTTCAGTTTTATACCATTTTGCAAATATATCCAGGAGCGGTAACTCGTGTTCTTTTAAAAAGTTTTGGTACTTGGGGATGACGGTTTCGTAAACAGTAGATTCTGTTTTGTAAATCCCCTTGATTGGCATAACATCGCGTTGCGATTTAACTGTAGTGCTGTGTTTTACGGCCAGATTTAACGTAACTTTTTCACCATCCTTGGTACCATTTGCATCCACAAATATTACTATGCCGGTATAGCCATCACCCGCTCCAGTGGTCCCTAAAATATTTAATATAAGAAACCCTTTAATAAATATAATGATAATACAGGCTGTTCTAGGTTTAACTAGTAGGAGTTCAGCTGGAGTAAAAAGTTAAGAAGCAATATTGTGATATATAGCCGCCTTAATAAGATAAAGTAAAAGTTTTGTGGTTCAAATGAATATACAGGAATTAAGCGTTAAAAGATCAGTTTGAGAAAATATTGGAGCGGCAATGTGTAGATTCTGAGAAACTTTTTAGTTAAAAATACTTTCTACATCCTAAATTTGGCACTTAATAAAAAATATTATGTTTACCTTTAATTGTAATTTCTCCATCTTTAATATTTTCTTGATCCAGAACTGTTTGAACCAAACTTGTTATGTCACTTTCATTTATACCGTATTTGTCCATTGTATTTGATTGAATAAAATTATTACCTAGATTGTTTTATTTTAGTTAATTTTAAGCACTTAAGTAATTATTTATATATTTAAAAATATCGATTTAGGCGGTTAAAATTTATATTATTATAAACACCGTTCATAACTTACGTATTAACTGAATGCACAATATTATGCAATTAAATTCCCTCTATACAGCTTAACCTTGATAATAAAAACCTAAAATTAGAAAGAGTACGTAACGTCAGGGCCGGATTTACATTTTTATGCGCCCTAAGCAAAAGTCAGAGGAGGGGCATTTATTTGAGAATAATTTGAATATTATTAATTATTGAATTTTTTGCTTATTAATTTTTCTTAAACCGTAATTGCTATTTAAATTTATTAGGTAAAATAATGTTATTTTTATTTTACTTTTAAAAAAGCGGTTTATTCTTCATCTTAAAAATCTTACTAAAAATTGCCAGGTCTATATGAATTTAGGGGCCTTCGTTGAGCCGGGGCCCAAATCAACTGCCTATTTTGAATATTGGTAAATTTGGCTCTGCGTAACCTTAATTTAGAATTACATTCCATATATATATACAGGGTGTTTCATAATATATGCGCAGGACTTCAGGATGTGATAGCTCATCCAAAAAGATGAAAAAAGTCGCTATTAACTTACCCTCTAAAATGCACAATTTTCGAGATACAGGGTGTTGAAATTTTAGAAAAAAAAATCGTTTTTTTCGAATATCTCCGGAACCGTTTATCGTACAAAAAACAGCTTTTGTAAGCATTTTCTACTCAAAATAAGCTATGTTTTGTGCCAGAAAAAAATTTTTTTTACTCATAATTGGTGGAGATTTTGAAGGGGTAGCGGGTGTTTTTCTCCTCAACTTCTATGCCCCTGAAAAATGTACACAAAAAAGACACTCTTGGTCATAAGCTCTAAAGTTTACCGTTTTAGAGAAAAATCAACTGTTATGTTTAAAAACATGGTCAATTTAAAAAAAAAATAATTTTTTTTTACTAATTAAACAAAATTTATTTTACGTTAGAACAAGTAACAAAACCAAACCATAATTGCAAAATAAAAAATGATTCAAAAGTTGTCTTTGCTAAATTCTCCAAACCGTAAAGGTAACGCATTTAGAACATTTCAGCATTTGTGTAAAAAATCATTTTTTATTTTTTTTTTAATTTTGCAATTATCGTTTGGTTTTGTTACTTTTTCTAACGTTAAAATAAATTTTGTTTAATTAGTAAAAAAAATTTTTTTTTTTTTTTTAAATTGACCATGTTTTTAAACATAACAGTTGATTTTTCTCGAAAACGGTCAACTTTAGGGCTTATGGCCAAGAGTACCTTTTTTGTGTAGAAAACATTGGCGGTTCGAATGGGCCTCTCAAAACCGTACTTTTTTCAGGGGCGTTGAAGTTGAGGAGAAAAACACCCGCTACCCCTTCAAAATCTCCACCAATTATGAGTAAAAAAAATTTTTTTCTGGCACAAAACATAGCTTATTATGAGTAGAAAATGCTTACAAAAGCTGTTTTTTGTACGACAAACGGTTCCAGAGATAATCGAAAAAAACGATTTTTTTTTCTAAAATTTCAACACTCTGTATCTCGAAAATTGTGCATTTTAGAGGGTAAGTTAATAGCGACTTTTTTCATCTTTTTGGATGAGCTTTCACATCCTGAAGTCCTGCGCATATATTATGAAACACCCTGTATATAGTTTATTAATTTGATTAAATAGTAGGTGAACATTGTACAATCAATATTTTTTCTACATTCACAATAATATAAGTACACAAAAAAACAAATAATGTAAAGTAAAAATAGTGGAAATATGCCCCATAAATGGTATTAGTTTATAATGTTTAAAATTACCAGTTAAAACTTATCCAAGTTCTTTTATTTTTGCAATTTAATGAATAAACACTTGAAAAGTCTACTCTAATTTTACGCATAATTTAAACAAATATTAAACTTATTTCTAATAAACCAATTTTGATCGATGACTTTTTGCAATTTTTAACCATTTATCGATAAATGGATCCATTGGTTAAAAACTAAAAAGGTCAATATGGACTGCGATATTTTCCTGTTTCCAAAACCTAAATTAATATATTACTATAGTACGTGGAATTGAAATATATTTTTTAAATGACAAGGTCCCACTAATATTTTATCAGAATACCTAAAGCATTGTTTATTTTTAGCAAATCTTTTCATATCAAATTTTTATCAAACAGATACTTTGCTAAAGCAACCGTTCTTCTTATTACCAATTCATCTTTAGAAGGTTCAAAAGCTTCCTTCAGACTGTCCACTTACTAACATCGCTATTTTCTGAGCTTTCAGCACTTAAAGAATAAATTAATGGAACCAATAGTACTGAATATTTCGCGTGGACCTGACAGTTTCTTAGAAATGATTCCTTTGAGTAAACTAAGTCAGGATTGCTTCCCATGCTTTCTGCTTTGAGAATTTTGTTTAGTAATGAGATAGCAATTCGTCCACTTCATTTAAGTTTTCTATTGAGATTCCAGCGAATATGGCAAAGTACAAATCGTGGATTGGGTTGTCTACATATGAAATTTGCCAGTCAATCAGAACAAATTATTCTGGGGTTTTGGAAAAGACCTGAAATGATGATAATAAAATAACACTGTGATAAAATTTTCTGTTTGCTATAGGGTAGCTAATAAATATTCTAGGGTGAATTTTTTTCGATATACACCAAATACAAAAATGGTAGGTTTCATAATATCTCCAATGAAGAGCTAATTGGGCAAAATAATATATCGTGCTCAATTTACCATAGAAATGACTGTTGACCAGAAAATAAGATAAATATTATACCTTATATTTAAACAACATGTTGTTATTCCAACAATCACCGTGGATTATGGTGCAATCTTTATCATTTTTCATGGTGTTGTTTAAAAAATGTTCCACCAACTCAGTCTTACATCTGTATTTAAGAGTATTAATAAAATTACAATGTACTTTGTTAAAAAATGAACCACTACTCGTATCTATAATATTTCTTAATTGCATCAACTCCGCTGATACTCTTTTAAACTCTTCAGGTTTTTGATCTCGAAACGCAAAACCTATAGCGTGGAATTTAGCGTCTATCCAAAACCAACTCTAAATATCCTATACCCAACGGTTTCCTTAGATCGTTCATTTTATAACCTTTTGCTCTTAAATTTTCTAGGATAATTATTTCGTAATTCTCTTCTATAACAGTTTTATACCACTTGGCTAAACAATCCATTAGAGGGACCTTCAAAAAGTTTTGATATATTGGTGTTATAGTTTCATACACAAAGGCTTCTAATTGGTAGAGGGTTTTTATTGAAATATTCGAACGTATTGGTAGTACTATGTTTTACTACAAAGTTATAGCTTTGTTATTTTTTTGTCCCTTTGCTTCATTAAATATGACCAAACCTGAGAAACCATCATGGATTCCAGACGTTTCTAAAAATTAGGTTTTAGTTTGTTTTACATGGTCTTAGCAGAACTTGAAGGTAAATACCTAGATATAGATATAGTTTCTTTAATAATACCATCTTCGTATATAAGCGATTCGATTAAGTTAATGATATTTGATTCGTTTATTCCAAATCTCTCCATGTTAAAAAAAAACTAGATTATATTGAAAAACAACTTAAATCCTTTTAAAGCTTATCTAAAAAATATTAGTTAAAAACTATGTGTACTTACAGTAATGGAGTACCTACTCGGTCGCAATAAAAATGTTTATAAGTTTATATCACATAGATGCACAGTCAACAATGAAAATAAAGATAATATTTATTTTTATAATTTGTTACGGAAATATTCGCAAAAAGTCGGTAGGGTCCGTGACATTTTATATTTGGGTCAATATCTCATAACTGTTTTCAGCCGAAATTAAAAACATCTCATCAAAATGGACTTAATTGGCGACAAGCTAAAAATCATTTCGGTAACGCGTCCGAACTGTTAATTATGATTATTATCACACCGTCCTTTATAAGAACTCACATTAGCAAACTTCTTAACTTTGTAACAGTACAGTAAATGATAAACAATAATGGACTCAGTAGGGATCCCTGAGGTACCCTCTACACGGTGGTCAAAACTAAAGTATAGGACGAACAAAAATGCCAACCAAAACTGATAGCATAATCATAATTAAAATACTCTAGTACCATTATCAAATGTTTTTAAAAATTTAGCAGATACATGACTGAAATATTGATAAATTACATTATAAATACAAAATAATGTAAAATACAGTTTGCAATATCTTATTTATTGTTTTAAGGTACCTAATACAAAACTAATAAATAACTAAAGTTTCTTTGAAGCAAAATCGATTACTGCTTGCCTTAAATTTTCAGTAAAACTTTTTCTTGGGTTTTACATGGAATTGTTTTTACATGGAAACAGTATTTTTAAATTCTTCAGTCTCTGTTTAACATGCTTCTTACATCTAGCGATATCCCCTAGAAAGGAAGAGCATATCAAAACTTTAGTTCGTTCGTCCGTCCTCTTCCCTTAATAATTTGTATGCCCTTTATATCTTGCCATTTTGCAGATAAAGCACATACATTCTTGGCTGCCGCGAAATTCTCTAGCAATTTCTAAATTTTGAAAATTTGGCATTTGTTGCTATGCAAAAATACCGTTTTTACCATATTAAAGTAGGTAATTTTGAATCACTTAAGTTAAAGTGTTCGTTTGAAAAAGTCTGCAGTAATTTTTGTATTTTCTCAAAAACCCTAAACTCTGAATTTTTCGATTATCAAAAACAATTTTGTATCCACAGCCAGCACATACCTTCTTTCGATTTTCTTCATGGCTTAACTTGAATTTCGGTTTAATTTTCATTTTAAAATACTATTTTTAACTTTATAAAGTATACATTAAATAAACAACTAAAGCAAAATGTCACTTGCGTTATAACGTATAGCAATTTTTTTCATAACCACCTTAATTATTGTTTTACAACATTTGCAAGTTGTAATTATTTCATAGACAAACTTCCAGTATTATTTGTTATAAAAAATATTTAAGATATAAATTTTCGTTTTTTTATGTTTTGTTTTGAGTGGTAAAAAATAATAGGTGACTCAATAAATTAATACTGGAGTAAAGTAATTTGAATGATACAAAGTTTATTAATTTGCTTAATTTTATTAAAATTGTACAGGTAGTTTTAGTACAATAATTGCAAAATAATATATAGAAATAGAAAAACAAAAAAGTTTGCAAAACTTTAAAATAGGATCAGCAGGGATTTTGATAAATAAATGTTAGTGTTACCAAAAGGGTCTATAATCGAAATAGTTGTTTTGGTTGGCATTTTTGTTCGTCCTATACTTAAGTTTTGACCACCGTGTCTAGCCTTAAAATATCTTTCCATACCTTAAAATTCTAATATTTATGTAACATTGAGTTTTTGTCCCTGTAATCTTTATACGTTATCGACATTTAAAATCGTAATTGCAAACTCTATTAAGCTGGAAATAGCAGTTCGATAATGCTTGAAAAAACTTGGCAGGACAACAAAAGTTAAA